GGCAAGAGAGAGCTGAGCACATGCTGCCCAGAGAAATAGATCCGTTAGAATTCTGTTCCTTTTATTGGGATGTCAGTTTTTATTGCAGTGGTAGAATTTTTCAACTGCTTTGTATGTTTTGTCTTTGAAATGATGATCTGACTCCAGAAATACATGGTTCAGAGAATCGTAGGAAAAATGGAAAAGAACAACAGAGAAATCAAAAGAAATAAACTGCTTCCTTCTTGACTTTCTCAAGCCAAAGAGAGAGAGAAAAGTGGCAGCACTGCAGATCCAGTTCTTTTCCAGAGACCTTGATTTCCTAGTCTGCTTCCACCATGCCGGGTTTATCTGTCAGCCAAGGAGCAGTGTTCTGAGTCTCAGGTGTGAACCCCTAGTAGATTAGAGGTAGTGTGAGGAAGGAAGCAGAAGAATCTACTTTCCCTTAATGAGATTTATTCTTTTTTTCATTTTATGCTTTAAGAATAGGAAAGTAGCTTCACTCAGTAGTTATGTCTTTATTCGTAGAGAAAATTACTTGATAGAACTGCTGTGTTGGCTGTTGTGAGCAGAGAAATGACCTTGGTAGGCCAAAGGATTTCTCATAGATTGACAGGGTCATTGAACTTGAAAAAATTTCAGAGGTCATCTAATCCAGTATCCTGACCTGCACAGAAATGATTTCTATATTAGTGCTTTTCAGACTGTAGGTCACGACCCACTAGTGGGTCATGAAAATTTGGTGGGCAGTGACTAGCATTAAAAAAAAATGAAATAACATTTTCCAAGTTTTGACTGATTTGTTTTTGCACACTCAGCGTATTACTGTAAGAACAAAAAAGTTTACAAATCTGTTGCCTGAGCCTCTGCTTAAGAACGTCCCAAGTAGGGACTCCCATTTTCAGAGGCGCTATACCTTGATGAGCTGTTCTGTTAAAGTGTTTGTTATATTCAGTGTTTCCTCTGCAATAATACTATATAAATAGTCAGAGAATGAAAAAGATATTTCATTTGTCCCTTGTCTTTCTATCCAGGCCCACCCAGTACCCACACTGTCTTGGCCACTCTTCTTAAGTATTACACGAGTCTGTGAGTCAAAGAAACAAACATAAGTAGTGAAGGAAAAAAATGTCTTTAGTGGACTGGATGGGAAATCATACTTATTAACAGGGTGATGTTACAGTGCAAACTTGAGGTAGTTTATTTGATTTAGCAGCAGTTTTCCAGAAGTCTTCTTGGCCCTTTGAGACTGGGTCAGGGTCCCTTCTGTGCTATCCCCTTCCCATCCGTGTCTCAGTTCTGTGACTTTGCAGAGGTGATCGTCTGTTTTCCAGCTGTCTCTGCTGCAAGACAGTAAGATTTTTCAAGCGCAAAGAACATGTCTTACTACTATAGTTTCAGTGCCTGTGCTTTATAGACACTCAGAACTTATGATTTAATGTTTTGGATTATATAAAATAACATTTTCTGGTCCAAGTGATTTGTATGGAGATTGAAATATCCATTTACTAAAGACAAAATATACAGTGATTAAAAAGTGGATATCACTTTGGAAATCAAAACTTACTTACCAGATGATAGAAAAGGAATTGGAACATGTTCTAAGCTTATAAGGTGAAAATTAATAGCTAAAGTGAAGTCTCTGTAAGACAGGTAACCCTTCTGAGACAAAATGGAATCATTGTAGCGTTGTAGTATGATAAACCTGCAAAATTGTTATCTTTGTGGTTATTTTTACTTTTACATATTCAAGTTGGGTTCACAAAACTGTAAGTAAGATAGGAAGATAGTAGTGTTGCCCAATCTTGCAAGTTAGAAAACAGGTTTGATGCCACTTTTTCTAACCACTCACGTTGGGTTAAAAGGCTGTGTCTGATACTGTGCTATTTTAACTAAACATACATTTTTCCAAGTTGTGAAATTTAATGCTGTAGTAACTTGCATTCATGTGAAATTTTGGTATGCATTTATGTTTACCTTTGTAGGTAACTGATGGAATTAAATGCTATTGATTTAGAATGTGATATCACTGGGTTAGGAAGAGACTTTTCAAAGGGTGAGCTTTCTCATCTGCCAGTTCATTGGATGCTGAGTCTCCTCAGTATCTCAGCATCCCCTCCTGGTGACTGCTGTAACCGACATGTTAGTGAGAGGATGCCTGCTACCTCTTGAGGTGGCCTATTCCTCTTAATATATAAGGATGCTAATGGAAGTGTGCTGAATATGGTAGGAATTAGAAATCTGTGTAGGGTGAGAGACTGATATTTAACATGGGTGTGGCAATGAGGTAGAAGCCTAGTCTTTGGGTTAGGATGAAGAAGGTGGAGGCTGTAAACCCCAGGGAAAGAAGTCCTCCATGGGTTGGCTAGCTCAGGAGCACTTACTTGGGTTGGGTTTTGCGGGTCATTCCCTCTCCTTCCAAACCCTCTGCTTCTTGGCTCCAGGTCCTGAGTGCTGAAACTGTTGTACTTCATACTCCTGTTCCCCCAGTTTGCCAGCCTCAAGAGACTAAATAAGTTAGGAGTTTCCAATACTCAATAAACTTTTGACTTCAGACCTTTAAGATCAGATTATGACTCTTATAATTGAAGTCATTTTTGAAAGATGGCCAGGCCTTGGCTAAATAGAATGGCCAGGCAGTTGTAGCCATAACGGCCCAACCCCAGAAAGGACATGACCCCCATACATGGTCTGCGAGGGTCATTTTCTTTTCACCACTCTTAATAAATGATGGCAACTCCTGGTGAACACTGACCTGCAACTTGGAATATACTGCACGTTGCTTTTAAAGAGCCTCATGTAGCAAGGGAGAGAAATTGAGTATTTTAAGAACTAAACTCTAACTTGAACTGTGGTGCTGACTAGATGTGTGACTTGAGCCCAGTGGGTCTGGGGCCCCTTGTCTAAGCTCCCTGGATTCTGTTGCAAGGTCATTGCTTTAGTCCTGAGATCACTGCACCTGAAGTCTATTTTAATTGTCAATACCCCCTCTTATACGCACATTCACACAGTTTACTGAACTCCTAATCATTCTATTTTTTTAAAGATTTTAAAGATTTTATTTATTTATTTATACAAGTACTGGGTACAGTCAGAAGCGCGGGAAGGTGAGGTGAGAGAATTCACCAGAGCCAGAGGGGAGAGCAGAGCAGGCAGACTGATGAGGTACACTGCTGAGGGGAGCAGCGGGCGGCAGGAGAGGTCTGCGCGCCATGTGGGACCCTCCTCTGGTGGCCGGGGAGCAGCTGGGGATCAAACCGGCGCTTCAGAGGCTGCGGGCAGCTTCGCAACCCAGCGCTCAACCGCTGCGCCACCGGGGAGGCCCTCCTAATCATTCTTAAATCCTAGCTCACATGTCCCTTTTTCTCACTTGTGCTTTCGAGCACCAAGTATATGCTGAGAGTACACTAAGCGCTAGCTGGTAGGGAAATAGCATTGAACAAAGCAAAGACTGTGTCCTCATAGCTGGGCTCTCATCACCCTCTCCTTGTGATGGAATGTCATTCCCGACAATCCCTGCCCAGTGCCTTGCTCAGTGGAACCAAAGATCAAATACTTGCTCCTCTAGCCTTTCCGTTTCTGTCTAAATGTATGACCTGAGTTGACTCTAAAAGATATAGAGCAGGAGTGGCAGGAAAGTCAGAGTTGCTATGGAGATTTTTCTATGCTAGTTCAGTAATTGCCAGCACTTGTCAACTTTCCGTAAAATGTAGGCACCTGATAGAAAATTCTAGACTTATAAATTTTGATACTCTCCGTGCTGCCAACCAAGACTTTTCTGCTGCCTGATGTAACATGTGATGAAGAGCAAAGGCATGCACAGTCAGCAGCATGGTGTGATGCACCCGAGTAGGAGCTCCCCCTGACAGGAAGCACGTGCATCTCCCTTTCACCTGCACATGGGCCCACAGGCATTTCCTGGCCATTGTTCCCCCCGGGCTGCCTTGGCGCTGTTTCTGTCCTCCAGTGAAGTGGACTGGAGCTGGGTGAGCTCCTCCAGGCCCAGCTCCTGTGTGCTTGTGGCCCTGGCCCCATCAGCCTGTGGACAGGCAGTGGCAGCTCAGACTGAACAGATTCTGGAGAACCTGGGAAAGGACAACCTCTTGCCTACAAACAATCATGGCAGCCTCTCCTGTTTCCACATGTGTGCTCTCTTGTCTATTTTTATTCTTCATTGGTTCTGTTGCCTCTGGGCAGTTCACTTAGGGAAATTGCTGCTGTTGAATAAATGTACCACGGCAGGATTAGGCTGTGGACATCCTTGCCTTGGAGATGCAAACTGCTTTCACAAGATTCATTGAGCAGAAATTTGACTCTTCAAGGTTCATGTGAGAAGGGGAAGTTCGGGGTTGTGTGGTAGGTTGGGTGTGTATGCTGCATCACTCTGTCCTTTGTTTTCTCAATATGAACTAGAGACTGAAGACCTATTTTCAGTAGTAGCTAGTTAACCTGGTATGGTTGCCCTTGCACTTACCATCCAGATTGCTCCACTGAAGTGTATCTTGGCTACGTGTTGATTAAAGATCTTGTTCTGCCTTTTTAGAGCAAAGGGTATGTCTACAAGATGAAAGCAAGAAAGTATAATAAGATTAAGCTAGACACTGGTAGTTTCTCTTTTTAGAACCACGAAGTAGTAATTGTAGCTTCCAAGTCTGTATTTGTTTTGTCCTCACTCTTGGTGCTTGTTGTTATCAGATGACTGGGGTAAGCGAATGGTGGGTATTCTTTATCATTTCATTGCTTAAATACTATTCCAGACTATTCTACAAAAGGCAACCATCAGAGGGTAGTGACGCCAGAATTCTGCTATCTTCTGCAGAATTCATGCTGCATCCATCCTCTCTATTTGAGTAAGATGGGAATAATTTCAGATGGAGCAACCTATATTTCTTTACTTTCTAGGCAGGCACCAAGCTATGTTCGTGCTCATGGTCTAGTCTGGTCAGAGTGAAGGGACGAGGAGCTATCAGAAGTGGCTCCCAGGAGAATTAGTAACTCTTCACACTCTGTTTTCCCCTCAGTGTGGGTCCTGCCACCACGACGGTCCGAGTGGCTGAGCTTGGATGAGGCCAGTGCATTATGTACAGTGTACAAGACCTCCTGATCTCTCATGGATACAAACTGTCCAGAAATGTCCCAGCGCCGAAGGAGAACTATGAGGGGCGCCAGCAAGCACGAGCAAGAGCACGAACTGGCCCTGCGCTGCTGAATGGCTGTGAGGATCGCCCCAAAGCCTCACCACAGAGTAAGAAAGCCCTGGGGAAAGGACATGTGAGTGATACTGAAAAAAACCGCCGCATTCTGAGAGTCCACGGAGAGCCCCAGAGCGCATCTGCTTCTAGAACTTCTGAGGCAGGGTAAGCTCCAAAATGAACCCGCCATTCTTTTTATTTTTTGACTTGGGGGTTTTGCAGTGGGCAGTGTAAAATCCTTTGCTCCATGTATTTCCCCTAGGGCCGGGGAGGGAGAAAGGGGCTGAGACACCAGAACATTTCTTTCCATTGGGGTATTTGGGTGTTCTAGCAGCACTGAGCACAGGGCCTGGACAGAGTTGACCTTCTCAATAAGTAGTGGTGAGTAAACGAATAATTCTTTCATGTTAAATGCTACATTTTAATGCTATTTCTTTGTTCCTTTATAAGCTGCTTCAGCTAGGAATCACTTATAAACTCTGTAAAGCTAGTTTATATCAGGCACACATTCCTAGTCCAGTAGTACATTAGACTTTCTTATTAATATGTTTCAATATTTTTTACATTACAGAATTGAAAAAGGTATGTATTTTCCTTTGTGAAGAGGAAAACCTACCCTTTTGTATACTCATAGAATTTCCCTGGCTTCCAATCTGTCTTTCCCTTGCACACACAGTGGCCCTAATGTGGATGTCCCATCTGAGTACAGCTGCATCTGTGCATGTTTTCTTACAACAAAAAAAGAGGACGGGTTGGCGGGGGGAACTGGAGGGTTAAAGAAGAGGGAATTTCGGCAGCCTGCCACAGAGCCAGAATGGGCGAGGAGTCCTGCAACTCTCATCCAAGCAGTTTCAACCTAGAGGAAACCTTTGTCATCACTTCATAAAACTGTGTTTATCTTTAATGCTGTATTGGGATCAGGCTAAGACGGAAGGAGGGCTGCCTGTGCAGCGCGTGCTGTGTAGCTGGCGAGAAATGGACCGAGGTGACAAATGGAAGCAGAGGCCCATTTTTAAGCGAAGCATATAAGCAAGCAAACAAAAAAGGGACTGGATCAAGTCCTAAGGGAGTGAACTAGCCTTTTGTGGTTCCAAGATGCCTTTTCACAGAAAGAATCTTCCTGTTGGCTGATGGTTTTCAGGCAAAAATGGGAAGGATGTTATTCTTATCATTTATAGCATTCAAAACCAGAGCTATTGGTAAAAGCAAAGGTGGTAGCCTTTCTTCATGCCCAGTTGTGGAAAAGCTGGTTTTGTGTTGCCCAGTCAGAAACACTGCTCTGGCATGGGGCAGGGGTATCACTGATGACCAGCTTCAGGAGAGAGCCCAGAATGGAGAAAGGACTTGAGGTTGCTTTCACTTAACCTTACCCTTTAAAACTGTTACTGTGTCCCCTACTGTATTGGGCTTAGCTCCCTTTTCAGCCGTGTTCTCTAAAACACATACCCACCATGGATTTTGGAAGAGGTGCTTGTGTATGAGCTGGCTAGGAGTAAGGACAGCCTTAGTTACCACTACACAAACTTGTGCTTGATTTTATCCTGCCTTCTGTTGCTTCTGGCTTTGGGGTGAGTGTGTCTATACCTACCACTGTGAACTTCTGGGGCTGTCCATTGCTGCTTCTTTCTTTGTATTTCCTAGGGAGATTGTTAGCTGGGCACAGTGTGTTTAATACATGCTCACGGATTCAGTTTCAGAAGGCTCAATTTCTAACAAGGTAAAGACGGTGGCCTTGAAATCCCTGATGAATCCTGTGCTCTGGAGCCTGAGTGGTATCTCCCTTAGTCTTGCAGCCTGGAGCAGAGATCAGAGTTGGGTCTCAGAGTGGGAGACAGTGGATTTCCGCATGAGAATTGCATGTGGCTCCCAGCCTCATCCACTACTTGCTCAGGTCTTTGTAGCCCCTCCTGTGACAACAGGTTCCTGAGGACCACGAGGGCCCACCAGCATGGCCCTAGGTGGGCAGACACACTCATGTCTGCAGGTGGACTTTTTCTTGTCTTGAGTGAGCTGCTCAGATAAATGGCATTGTATAGCACTGAGAGGTCTTCCAATAAATGACAAGTCTTTCCTCTTCCCTGTTTCTGAGGTTGACAGATTATCTTGGGGGTATACAGTAGCTTTGGGATCGAAGGTAGCCTTGTAGGCTAGAAAGGGAAAATGCATACATTTGTGCAAAACTACGCCAGTGCCCAAAGCCTCAGAAAACAGCTGACAGCCTTCCTGGGTTGAAATGAAAAGACCTTTCCCCCAACCTGCTTTGTAGAAGCTGAAAGCAGTAGATCAACAGCAAGGTAGGCAGGAGGAGAATTATTTTTTCCTCATCTGAAAAAAACATGTTCTGAGAGGAAATAAGTAGGTGCTAATAGTTAAAAATTGAAGTAAGAAAGGGGAAAACCTAACAATATGGGGTATGAATTCTGTGGATTATGAAACTGGATGAATAACTAGTTCTCTGCCAGCTCCCAGCCTTCACTAAAGTGCAGCCTTCTGGCCGGGCCCACTAATGGCCGGGCTAGGCTGATCTCCGGGTCTGGAGGTTAGATGAGCCCAAGATAGCCCTGACCAAACCCAAGTCACTAGAGTGACTGGGAAGGAAGAGAGCCCCTCCTTGCAGTTTCTGGAGTGGATTGAGGTCTGCCCGAGAATGTGTCCTCATATCCGGGGCCAATCTTCTGTACCCCACTGAAATCTTGGGGAAGAAAGTGGCCAGAGTAATTGGGAAGACCACAGGGAGGGGTTTTATTTTTTCATTCTGGCGTGATGGTGGAGACAGATATGTAGACAGTGCCGTTATTTTATAGCCAAAGAACATGAAACCCAGAGAATGCTGGTGACTTAGCAAGGGCCACTGGAAGCAGTGGCGGGAAGCTTGGCATGGGCACTGGCCCTGGGCTGCCAGGCAGGCTAGTGGCTCTGGTTCTATGAAAGCACGGTGCCTGGCTGAGCTCTTCCCCTATGAGGCTTATCTCAGTTCAAAAGGCATTCAGGTCTCTGAGCTTCTGACATGGCTGCCCTGTGCTGACTGTCCCCTCTTGCTTCCTGTCTTCTGCCTCCCTAGACACTCATGCATGTGGAGCAGCTCCCTGAGCCCAGCTGCGTCCCTTTCCTGACCGGGGACTGCAGGAGGTCTGCATCCTGTTGCACCTAAATAAGCATAACGCTGCTTCATGTGCGCTTTGTTCAGGGGCTACATAAATGGAAGGTGGTACTGTCCATAATCTGGGGTATGGCTGGACCATCAGGAGTCTCTCGTGAGCATAATTCAGGACTATTTCTTTCTGTCTGATGAGTAACAGCAGCTTAAGCCAGAGCTTCTTAGGTAAGGGCCGATTGTAGCCAATACAACCTTAAAAATCCCACAAATGTGGAACCTTGACTGGACTTCTAAATATTCTGTGTACATGTTTCCCGACCGGAGAGATGGTTCTGAGCTTTTCACTATTGGTCATGTGATATTGAGCACCCAAGATAGGAAGAGAAAGACATTTCAGTTGTGAGGAGAGCCGAGGCATCAACTGAATTTGCTGAAAAGTTGTTAGGCTCAGGAGTTGGAGATGGTTCTTGTTTGTAGCTGTTTTCCCATTCAATTTGTTACATTATTGGTTTCTGGGCTGGTAACTCTAGGGGTGTTTAAAGCCCAGAAGATGGACTTTGAACCCCGAATCCATGTGACTCCTGTCCGGGGACCTTCTTGAGACCTCACTGCTTGCACTGTCAACATGAAACTCCTCAGTGTGCCTCGCAGGCCTCCTCAGCCCAACCTGCCCTTTCTATGCCCGCTCCTTCCCAAGGCTCCAGCCACATGGGGCAGCCATGTGCCGCCCACCTCAGAGCTCTGCCTAGAAGCACCCACAGTCCTCTCCTCCCCACCTCCTGCTGGAAACCCCATCTTACCATTTTGCCTTCTTCAGCTCCCTCCAGGTAAAAGGACTCATTTAATCGTGTTATTCTAGCACTTTCTTCTGAAGGTCTGTGGGATTGTCAGCTATTTGAAGTCTGATACCACTTCATCTTCATCTCTGATTTTGCTAATTCCTTTTACAGAATTTTGCATTTATTAAAGACTCAAAATTTTTTTAATAAAATGGATCATAACTATTATTTAAATGCCAAGGCAGTTAGGCAAGTGCTTAGTATTTCAGCACTGTTGGCTAGAATGGGTGGTGTAGGGGCAGGACAGGCCACTGAGCAGGTTTTCTGATCCAGCAGACCAGGTAAATGAGGAGTCCTGGAGCCCTCAGTGGCTTTTGCAGACTTTTATTGGGATTACCAGGTACATGGCAGGCAGGGGCACTGGGGGGCCAGGAGGCTGGCAGGCCTCCCAGCACCCAGCAAGTCTTCACTCTGGGCTCTCTGGCCTTCTCTCACGTTCTCTCTGCTCTTCTCATGGCTCTGCTTCTCTCTTAGCTTCTCTTTTCCTGCTGGTGTCTCCATGACGCCACCCTTAAAAAAAAAAATCCCAGTCTTAGCCCAGGTGAATCCCATCTACCTATGCCCACACCCTACTCCAGGTGCCCGCCATCAGGCATGCATTCAGGACCGCAGGGTTCCGTCATCTATCCTAATGGCGGGAGGGCAGAAAAGCCTGATACTTTTTACCTTACTCTACAGGTAGGAAGTGGAGAAGCTTGCCAGTGAGAAGACCTGGGTGAGGCTAGTTTGGGGAGGGTCCTTTGTGAAAAGAAGGGCATCTGCTTCCTGTGTTGGACCGGAGAGGTAGTGCTGTTGCTGGCTTGGTCAATCCATGTTAACTCCTGGAAAACAAAGGAGAAAATAACAGTCACAGACTCAGCAAATCTCCCAGGGCAGATAGTTCCTGGTAGTAAAGGTTCCCCCCTTTGCAGATTTCACATGTGCAAGAGATTGGAACCCACCTGAAAGAAAAGGGGGAGGTTGTTGTGAGAATACAGTAGCATCTCATGGTCCAGTCATTGGTGGGAAATGAAGACTAGCGGGGCCTCATTCCATGTGGGCATGAGAGAACTGGGAACCTAGATGGGTCTGTCAATTGATGTCTCTGTGAATGGTGGCTTCTTTCCCTTGGGGGCTCTCGGCTTCTCTGCCACCTTGTCACTTGTCACTGCATCTCCAAACCTCTGCTCTCTACTCTGCTGACCAGCTTCTTCCCTTCATTGTCAGTTATTACTTCCCGGTGACTGACT